TCATTTGGTTCAATTTCCAATGACTTGTTGAGATCAGCCAATGCAATATGATATAGTCCAAGATGGAAACAAACAGTACCCCGTATTTTCAATGCATGTGCATTATTTGGTTTTATCTCTAATGATTTGTTGAGATCAATCAATGAACTATCATATTGTCCTAGATCAAGATAGAGGTTTCCCCTTATTGTCAATGCATCAACTAAATCATGATCAATCTCTAATGACTTGTTTAAATCAAGTAATGCATTATGGTACTGTTTGAGCATGTAATATGTCTTACCCCTATACATTAATGTCTCTTTTTTATCAGGATCAATATCCAATGACTTGTTGAGATCACTTAATGCATTGCCATATTGTTTAAGATTACAATAAATATGCCCTCTCACACTCAATGCAAATGCATTGTCTGGTTCAAGCTCCAATGCTTTATTAAGATCACTTAATGCATGATCATACCATTTGAGATCATTGTAGATGTCTCCTCTTATGGCCAATGCATAAGCATTATTTTGTTCAATTTCCAATGCTTTGTTAACATCATTCAATGCATTGTCATACTGTTCAAGCATACCATACGTGTTAGCCCTTTCACTCAATGCATCTGCATTATTTGGTTCAATATCCAATGATTTGTTGAGATCTATTAATGCATTGTCATATTGGTCTAGTAATTTATAGACCTCTCCCCTTCTACTTAATGCCCATGCATTATTTGGCTCAATCTCTAGTGATTTGTTGAGATCTATTAATGCATTGTCACATTGTTTTAGTAATTTATAGACATCTCCCCTTATTTTCAATGCCCGTGCATTATTTGGTTCAATTTCCAATGATTTGTTGAGATCTATTAATGCATTGTCATATCGTTTTAGTAATTTATAGACATCTCCCCTTGTACTCAATGTCCATGCATCATTTGGTTCAAACGCCAATGATTTGTTGAGATCTATTAATGCATTATCATGTTGTTTTAGTAATTTATAGACATCTCCCCTTGTACTCAATGCCCATGCATTATTTGGCTCAATCTCTAGTGATTTGTTGAGATCTATTAATGCATCATCATATCGTTTTAGTGATTTATAGACATCTCCCCTTCTACTTAATGCCCATGCATCATTTGGTTCAATCTTTAATAATTCATTAAGATTATTCAATTCATCATAACATTTCAACCTCTTATAAGCAGTTTCACAACATGGCCGCCGACCAGGGTCTTCATCCCAACATTCTGAGTACAGATTAACATACTCTTTGGATGTTCCAGGAAATGGAGAATCACGAAAACCATTAACTCTGCATATAATAATTTGAAAAACTTCTGTGCATCCACCACACGGAATTTGCCCAGTAGATAATTCCCACAGTATTACTCCAAGACTAAATATATCAGACTTCTTTCCACGTTCATACAAACTGTTGTTTAAAGATGCCGGATCCTTGTATGCTGGTGCACCATTGCCATGTGACTTAGACATTGCTTGTTTCAAGACACTTGATAAGCCAAAGTCAGTTATTTTTGCGACACCTGATTTAATAAGAATGTTACTGGAAGACTAGATACATAAACGTATGCCGTTAGCTTAAATGTTGAGTGTGAATTCAAGCAATACAATTAATATGTGCAATAAATACCAAATCCTTGTGAATAATGTCAAGTTCATGTAAATATTTCAATCCATTGGTAATTTCTAAGCCCAACTTGTATTTGTCTTTCCAAGTCAAATCTTTAAAGTATTGCTCTAAGTGTTTGCGTAAGCTTCCACCGTCGGCCAGTTCAAAGATCATATGATAGCTATTGTCTTTGTCTGTTTATTATTATGTGTAAAAAGTAGAATGAGATTGAAAGATCATCTCGGTATGAAGTCAATAAACTATAATCATAAACAAACCTTTGTATAAACCTAAAAAGCGAATAATGTTAGGATGGTTGTTCGCTTCCTTGTGGTGTTTTAACTAGCGCATGAATTTATGCCAATAATTAATCTAAGCCTAAATATAAACTTAACGAGCGTAACAGAAAATATAAACACCTCTTTGACGAATTGTCGGTACAAATCTTCTTCACAATTCCCATGTTTGTCTGAATGTAGAATTTTCACAGCAACTGGCATGCCAGAGGAATGATTGTGCCACTCGCCTAGCATCGTCCTGGTAGTAAATTCGAAACTGCTGCCTGGCCTTACCGTCGCCTTATACACCACTCCATATCCTCCAATACCAATATGTTTGAGGTCTAATGCTATATCCCATTCTGGACAGCAACTGATTGAACCATCTTGAATGCTTGCGTGCAGCCAGTCTTTGTACGAATTGTTTGCTATTTGAGACATTGTTAAAGACGCAAAGTAATTGCAGGACAGTCAACTGCAAAGTAACCTTGTGTAACTCGAACGACCATGTCGTCATACCATCGGGGCATATACAGTCAAAGCTCGTTATAATAGGACTATGTTCGCATTATAAAGAGAAATTTTTTTAGAACACTATTTTTTAATATTAAAAATTGCTTGTTATAATAGATTTTTATAGTAAATCGCGTTATTAGCTATAATGGAATTTTTTATGAATCGTCTATAACACAACTAATCGCATTATAATGGAAATATGGATTCAGCCAATAGGATGGGAGGAATATTAATATGATTTAACACTTGACATATCTAAAAGAATAAAATGCACAGAAACGTCAACTATGTCTTGACAAGGAGAAAAAGCCTACACCAACGAATGGCGAACTTGCATCAAGTATAGAATCAAGGGAAAATTCGTCTCCGCAATCTTAATAGCAAAAGAAAAAGTGGCATGTAACGAATTCTGATGAATACTGTTCAGTTGAAGCGTAATCGGCCCTCAAAATATGAGAACGTTGAACGCGCCTTGTGGAGTTGGGCAAAGTGTATTATCCTGTAATCTCGATATCGGTGCTGTTTTGAAGAAAAGCAATCGGCTTTAGTATTGATAGTCATGGGAAAGTTTATATATGAAATTCTCGTTTTGAAATCAATCGCTCCTATGACAAGTCACATGTTGATGTTGCATATCCCCATACTCTATATTAATATTATTAAACCCATTTTTTCCTTCTTTATTTTTTCTCTGGCTTTTCTTTAATCGTTTAATAACTGAGCAGTATCTTGAAGGAGTGTTTTATCCAAAGCGCCGTTTGGTTTTAAAAGATTACTATCAAAGATAACCTTTTCTTCAGGTTTAAGAGTTCCTCCATGATAATTTGAATATTCTTTCGCCTCATTTTCGGTGTTAATATTATTTTTATTGAATGCCATGATTTTAATTCCTATATTATATATTTTAATAATTAATATTATTAAAAGATTAAATATAAAGATTTAATAGAAACAAACGAAAACCAATAAACAATAAAGTAAAAAATTTGCGGTTGACTGTATATTTTTATTCATTATCAGTATAGATTGGTTTGGAACAAGTAATATCCTTGAATTCATCTCTAACGAATGGGCGAATATTATGATAAAGATATTCTTGCCTTTATAATCCAAAAGAGGCGGAGTTAGAACCAAAATAGAAAAAGACTTAATCTCTTTGGTAATTTTGGAAACACTTGCTTTTCTGGTTTTCAATAGCTTAAATTCAGTATACGAACTATTAACAACCAGATGGGCTTTGACAGCCCCAGGATTAGCTGCTTCAAATAGAAAATGCTGATATTTTTGTAAACCACTCAAAATACAGAATTAAGATCTAAATATTGAAACCTTTGCCGTTTTCATAGCACTGAGCTTTGTTTAATCTTGCTGTACTCGATTTTTTCACAACCTCAACAATATGACCCACGCAATTTACTGTTGCCTTTCCGTAGAGCTTTTTAATCAATCCGAAACTACCATCACATTTGAATTTAGTATGTCCTGGTACCATAAAATTTAACTCGATACATTCGCAATAACCACAAATTAACAAATACAAGTAAAATCAAATGGTAGCATTATTTTTATTCTGTCCTCCTGCATTATCGCAATTGGTCTTAAATACTTTTCAATTTCTTAATTCCATCGAATACCATGCTCAGGGTACCATTAGGACCTTTGCCGATAATTTCGTCTTTATCGAGAACGTAATTAATTTGTTCGCGTACTGCCTCATCTTGGATACCAAATAAATGCACTTTACATGGACTGAGATAATAAATTTTACTTATTTGTTGATCGAAATGTGGAACGTGAATGTTTTTCGCTCAATCATAGCTGTAACGTCAACGGTACAATAATCAGCTTTACCTCTTATTATAAACTGCTTATCTACTAATTTTCTTTGTTCTTCTGCAAATTTCGTATTTTTGTCGTAATAGTTTCTCTCTAATTTAGCCTTAACTAAATGTTCTTTGAAATTTTTTAGTAAATTTTTCGCTTCTAAGCATTATACTGTAAGTCATTCCGAAAATGTTGGCATGTGTCACATAAATCCGTTTTTGGACTCATGATTTGAATATAAGGCGTTAATTGGTGCCATAACTTGCGAAACGCATCATATTTTAACAACTTCAATGTACTACCGTTTCCGAGACCTGCAATAAAATCACGATAGACTGATTTGTAACTCGTTTCCAATAGTGTAAGCGATTGAGTAATGCGATTGACACCTCTACCAGGACTGGGTAATTTATGAATTTCGGCATAGTTTTCAAGAAAATTTTTCACGGCGTTAGCAATGGTTATTAGTAAAATTAGAAATTCATTAACTGGTGTTGGGTCTAAGAAGAACATAGTAGTGTACTACCGGAGAAATAAACAGAACATTATAAACTTTTTATTATATATTATACTTGCTGTTTATGTTCAAAATGAATAGCTAAGATCTTTTCTTCAACATTACTGCAGTATGAAAGATTACATGTTTGGTGTATTAATATTTTATATTTATTGCTTAAATTTACTCACTGTTTTTAACATCTTTATGTGTTCAATCTTTTCTCTCTTCTGTTTTCAAAAAAGGATACACCTTATTATGTGTTTTAGTATATCCTTGTTCAGCTGCTTTTCCATATAGTTCATGTGCCTTTTGAATGTCTACATTTACCCCAATTCCATATTCATAATGCAGGCCAAGAATATATTGTGCATAAGTATTACCTTTTTTGGCTGCTGCTTGATACAAGTTGACTATAGATTTGATGTCAAAATTAAATCCAGCAATTTGACCATAATATTTACCATTTTCAAATTTTACTGACATATGTGCTTGATTTACTGCAATTTCATATAATTCAGCTGCTTTTTGTTCATCTTTTTCTACTCCTGTTCCTTCTTCATAACATATAGCAAGGTTATATTGAGCCATGGGACATCCTTGAATAGCAGCTTTTTGAAACAACTCGATCGCTTTTTGTTCATCTTTTTCTACCCCACTACCATTTTTATAATGTAGAGCAAGTCTAGTTTGAGAGCTGACGTTTCCTTGTTCAGCTGCTTTTTTATACCATTTGATTGCTTGCTGCTCATCTTTTCTTATTCCAGTCCCATGTGCATAACACTCGGCAAGATTATGCTGAGCACCAGGATGTCCTTGTTCAGCGGCTTCTTTATACCATTCAACTGCTTTTCGTTCATTTTTTTCTACTCCGGTTCCATTTTCATAAAATACCGCAAGATTATGTTGAGCACCAGGGTATCCTTGTTCGGCTGCTTCTTGATATAATTTAGCTGCTTTTTGTTCATCTTTTTCTATCCCAATTCCGTCTGCATAACATACAGCAAGGTTATGCTGAGCCCAGGAATCTCCTTGTTCAGCTGCTTCTTGATACCATTCAACTGCTTTCCGTTCATCTTTTTCTACTCCAATTCCCTTTGCATAATATAAACCAAGGTTAAGTTGAGCATCGGCATATCCTTGTTCGGCTGCCTTTTGATATAGTTCAAACGCCTTTCGTTCACTTTTTTCTACCCCAACTCCATGACTATGAGCTATAGCAAGATTATATTGAGCCATGGCAAAACCTTGTTCGGCTGCTTTTTGGTAATACTCGACTGCTTTTAGTTCATCTGCTTTTACGCCAATTCCATTATGGTAGCATATGGCAAGATTATACTGAGCGCTGGCATCTCCTTGTTCAGCTGCATCTCGATACGACTCGAATTGATTCATTACTTGGTAAAAATTCACTTTGTAATAGCAACAACGTCCACTTTGAAGTTTCTCGGCATTGAAATATTAGTGTAACACGTTACATCCAATGAAGTGATGCCCGATAACAATCGCAATGTGTCGTGCATGTCCACATAATTTATGCATTATTAAACTTCTCCTTTTTAATAATATCTTCCTTTTCGGGCGTGCTATACCAGAGAATCAAATAATAAGAATTGCAAACTAACTAACAGCGACAATTGGCCTTCGCAAGGGCGATTAAGTTGCTTCCCATTGGAACTGTCTAAACTAATATACGTCGTTATGGAGATTCAGAATCCCATAAGAAAAGAAGCAGCAGCAGGCCTGGGTTAAATTGTTTGGTGATAGTGAACAAAAAACCTGAATCTCCTGTTAAACCACTTATAGAAAATATGTCTTAGTATTAGATTTCACGTTGTGGTGACGAGACCGCTTATTAATGAAAACAATGGCAGTATCGATTTAACTAGTGGATATTTAGCGTCTGTTTTTGTTTCATTATTTTCTTCCATAATAATAAGACACTTTTTTATATACAGTGTTAGGAAGAATATGATTACCCTTGGTCGACAATCGCCACACTCTCGTATCTAGTGAATATGCCTCCGCCAATTAAATAATTGTATTCTACGACATTTCTTTGTCAGTTTTGGAAATAAATGATCTGGTTACCATAATGCTAAATGACACAATTTGATTACATTCTAGTATTAAAGTCATTGCTTGAAAATTATACTAGCTAAACGCCCATAACATGAGATGTTTAGCAATCATCCATGTTCGGATTTGGATCTTCATGTCTCAGAGATTTCCCCCATATTTTTGAAGTGTTCCCCTATCGAAAACATTCTCTTTGGATAACAGTTTTATTTATTCGGTTTACTTTAAATACGTCAATGTAAAACGTGAGAATACTAAACAGTATTGATAACGATTTGAATGAAAATACCCGAGTTTTGTATGACAGGGCAATGGTTCAATTAAACTGGGACCCGTTGATTAAATTTCTGAAAATAGACACAGAAGTGTATTTTTATTTCGACATAGCCTCACAAAACTCCAACTTCTCTTCCCCATTCCATTATCAATTCTCTGGTAATAAATAGACAAACTACCAAACCTTAACGTAAAGGTAACGACGTTTATAAATACGATCAGATTACTCCACACGAGGTGCAATATATCGTTTTACAGAGAAAGCAAAGCGCTGGAATAATTGTCTCGATTGCGTAATACCGATCGAGTCATATGGCGTACACAGGCTCAGCATGACCCACGTTTAGGAACAGCTATTGTTTACTAATGGTTGTCCAAAAAAAATTACAAGATTAAAGAAAAAGTATTAAAAGTGTGACGATAACACAGAATCGACGACAAAAAAACATGTTAACAGTGGAATCTTTCCATGTTTCGTAAATGTTTTTATATAAGTTCTGACTCTCAAGTTTTAAAAGGTTTACAACCCTTTGCTCAAATAGACATTTCTAAATAATATCATCGGCCAACCTTTTTACCCCGACCACGCTTAGGCACACCTCCAGACGTCGGACCGGTAGTCGTAGCCGCATTAGCCGAAGTATCTGATGGACGTCGGCCACGGCCACGACGTGCAGCCACCCTCGTTGGTGTGGGTGGTTCGTTTAGTTCTGATTTCTTTGGAGCACGCGTTGGACGCTTTGGCTTCCTTGTTGCGGCCTCTGATTAACAGCAAGATCGGAAGCATTATGAACAAGTATGGTTAAAATACTACCAGGCGTGGACAAAGATAAAAACATCTCGACCTTCTGTTTCGGGCGTTGTTACTGAGGAAGGCGTACTGGAGGGTGTCGGGGAAGAGTCACGCCTCCTACCAGGCCTCATCTGTATTGGTGGTGGTGTGCTCCCACTTGACATGGATGGTTTTCTCTGATCTGGTATAAGATGATCATATTCTTCATTTGGTAAACTGAATTCGGTTAGCGAATTGGTTTCATTATCCTCGTCCTCGTACTCGTACTCCTTGGTGTGAGATATAAAAGCATGTTAATAGATTCGAATCAGAGATATTTTAATGTAGCGTCCTCACTATATCCGAGTTATATCTTCACCATATCGTCTAACAAATCCAAAGCAAAATACTGAGATAATCTCTCCCAAAGTTCGGGTATTGTAAGCTTTACTGGGCTGTTTGCATTAAAGTCTCTGTGTATATTAAGCATGCGGAAATGCTTGTGCATGCCTTGAGGAAGGAACATACACATAAAAAGTTAGCCTAATCAGACTACTCGGATAGACCAAAAGTAACTCCGTACCGTACCCACAGGTTTATTCTTCATAACAGCGTGGAAGAGGGCGATCTCCATTTTAGGATCCCAATGGATTCCCGGTGACGAAGCTGAAGTTGACACTTCTGAGGTTGTTGATCCGCCGCCACGGCGCCGTTGGATTCCAAGATCATGCTCTGTTAGGGGCAATGACTCGAATTGACTAGATTGTTCCGTCATGAGGCGCAATAGAGGAAACTAAAACTGTAAAGAAAGCAATAAATGACAAGACAAGTGTACATAAATATAAATATGTGTACTACTTTCCGATTTGGATCTTTCTGATTTCACGTGACACACAGATTACAGATTTTATTCCCTGCTTTTCGATCTGAACCCAAAAAATTTTTTCCCTCTCGCGGGAAATCTTTCTTTTTTGCTCTTAACTCTCCAATTTTTATTCTCGATCTCTCACATAAAGAAAAGTTTTTTAGCTTTCTCATAAATACAATATCATAATGTCATTATTACGACTCGGACAATATGTGGCAAGAAATCACGCGTCAATAGGAACTTTTAACCACATAAGAAATGCCGTACGTTCTCGAACTACCTGTTTGGCCATAAATCCTATCACAAAATTTTTTCGTAAATGATCGAATTTGTTGACCAAAATCTTATTCATTACATGTGCCGTTTGATTTATTAGTCTCTAAGAAATGAAGCATTCAAATTCGGCTTGCGAGCATATAGGTAAATTGCGTGACAAATAAATGATTTTTACTGCTTGGCGTTTTCAAGAATAGATTGATCTACTTTAACTCACCGTTTTTTTTTTGATATTGCAAATATTTTTTTTGAGTTGTTCTGATTACATATATCTTAACTATTCGTCATTTCATAGCTCAAAAGTTCAAGGCCATGTAATCGGTATCGATTTAGGAACGACAAATAGTTGTGTGGCTACAATGGAAGGCAAAACACCACGTGTTATTGAAAACAGCGAAGGAGGAAGAACGACACCATCCGTTGTTGCATTTTCAAAAGATGGCGAATTGTTAGTTGGCTTACCGGCAAAAAGACAGGTATGTAAGCAGGGAGTTTGATTGGTGTACATGACTATTCCGTAGCGTAGGTTTACAAATTAATCAAATTAAATCACATGATGTTTCTCTTCTTAAATAACAAACACTCGTAGGCTGTAGTAAATCCAGAGAATACTTTTTTTGCCACAAAACGTTTGATTGGCCGAAAGTTTAAAGACGCGGAAGTTCAACAAGATATTAAACAAGTCCCTTATCAAATTATTGAACACACCAACGGTGATGCGTGGTTAGCGTCACGAGGCAAAAAATATAGTCCAGCTCAGATGGGGGCATTTGTCGCTGGAAAGATGAAAGAGACTGCAGGTAGATTGATCAAAGGAAAGAAGACTCGGATAGATTAAGCGCGAGAATCGAGTATTGCATGAGATTGTGATAATATGCCTTACCAACACGCGTTGACATAAATTGAACTTTCTATACCCTAGAATCCTATCTCGGTAAACCTGTTAGCAATGCTGGTAAGCTGTCTGTAGTCTCTTCCTACATTTGTCATGTTATAATAAGAAGCCCGGAATCCTCACTCATTCAATCCAATTACAGTAATTACTGTCCCAGCCTACTTTAACGATTCACAGCGACAAGCTACGAAAGATGCTGGCCAAATCGCTGGTCTTAATGTCTTACGTGTCATAAACGAACCAACTGCAGCGGCGCTTGCTTATGGCCTTGATAAAGCCGGCGACAAAGTCGTCGCGGTTTATGATCTTGGTGGCGGGACTTTTGATATCAGTATTTTGGAAATCCAGAAGGGTGTGTTCGAAGTAAAGTCAACTAACGGAAACACCCATTTGGGTGGCGAAGACTTTGACATTGCATTAGTCAAATATCTGGTTGACGCGTTCAAGAAGGAGGTATGGTCTTTGAACATTTACTTGGAGTTCTGTATCCACGGCGAAAGCTTGGGAATCAATTAAGAAATCAATGTATCTTGCTTTATTGCGACTTGTAGTCAGGAATAGATTTATCGCCAGACCGTATAGCAATTCAGCGTATCCGCGAAGCAGCTGAGAAAGCCAAAATTGAACTCTCGTCCACTCTTCAAGTAAGATTTTTTACACTGAGACTTTGTTCAAATTATTTCTTTTTGTTTATACTAATATTTCCGGATAGACCGAAATAAATCTCCCATTCATTACAGCTGATGCGACAGGACCGAAACACATTAATATGAAACTTACCCGTGCGACCTTTGAATCCTTAACAAAGTCTTTTATTGATAAGACCATTGAACCATGCAAGTCAGCAATGAAGGACGCTAATGTCGCTACAAAAGATATAAACGAGGTTATACTTGTTGGTGGTATGACTAGGATGCCAAAGGTTATTGAAACAGTTAGAGGGCTTTTTAACAAAGAGCCGTCGAAGGCTGTTAATCCTGATGAGGCTGTTGCAATTGGTGCTGCTATTCAGGTAACAAAGTTTAGAGAGAAGTTCAGATGGTAATCCCATAATTCATTTACGCCAAAAATTAACTAACTTTCTGCAAACTGGATTCGCTATAACGTAGGGCGGCGTTTTAGCTGGTGAAGTGACTGATATCCTTCTCTTGGACGTGACGCCTCTATCTCTTGGAATAGAAACCCTTGGTGGTGTTTTCACTCGATTAATTAACCGAAACACTACCATTCCCACGAAAAAGTCTCAGGCATTCTCTACTGCTGCAGACGGACAAACTACAGTCGATATTAAAGTATTCCAGGGAGAACGTGAATTGGTGAAGGATAACAAATTGTTAGGGAACTTCCAATTGACGGGAATTCCGCCTGCACCAAAGGGAGTACCACAAATTGAAGTTACATTTGACATAGATGCCGATGGGATTGTCAATGTTTCTGCTTCAGATAAGGCTACCGGAAAAGATCAGTCGAGTAAGCATGAGAGCGGGGATGCTGGTGTCGGTTAAATTGCAGCCAACACGTGCTTTTAATATTGGTTGTTGTATATTAATTAGTCTATTAATCAATTGTGTCTGATTTTCGTATACGTCAAGTTACAATTGCTGCTTCATCTGGTCTAAGCAAAGATGAAATCGAAAACATGATCCTCGAAGCCGAACAACACGCTGATAGTGATCGTGAACGAAGAGAGTTAATAGAAGCAACCAACGCAGCTGATACTATCGCACACGATACAGAGAAAAACCTTAATGAATTCAAAGACCAGCTTGATCCTAAAGAAGTAGAGACATTCCGGGGCAAAATTAAAGAATTGCGTGAACTAGTAGCCAAGGCCCAGACTGAAGGAATCAAGGCTGAAGATGTTAGGGAGAAGACCAGCGCGTTCCAAGTTGATTCGCTGAAATTATTCGAAATAGCATATAAGAAGGTATGAAGTCTCAAGGCAATTCGTACATCCTTGAATTAAAACTAATTTAATCTTTTATATTTAGCGTGCTGAGCAAAATAAGACAAACGAGAGCAGTAGTAGTAGCGGTGATTCAGGAGAGAAAACGGAGAGTTAATAATGATTTGGGGGATTGCATTTACATATAATAAAAAAACGTGCTTTAACCTAATAAAAATTGACCGAGTATTTTGTATTGTCATCTCTGCTGACCAATTCGTAATTGTTACGTGAGCGTGGTGGTATTTTTTAAATATAATCGGAACTTTTATTTCAGGAATTGTCCATTTGCTTGTGATCCGCATTGAAGTCACCAAAACTTGCTAGAAGTAAAAAAAAACATTGGGTGACGAGCGGGCATATATGTAAATGATCTAAATGACGAACGATAATGAAAAACAGTTAACATACAAACACAAAAACAAGAAAAGGTTGCTTTCTAATCAAGCAAATTGATGTTTGTCTACAATATAAAGAAAACAAAAGGTGAGGGTGATTGCTACAGAGGTAATAATTTAATCCAAACTGAAAATGTATTTATACCTTAAAAAAGAGCTTTCTCTGAACAAAGAAAAGTTTATATACAATGAGGAAAAGAAGGATAATGAAAAGGGAAAACAGTAAAATACCAAGTAAAAAAAAAACAAGAGGGACAGAAAGACATCCAACAGGAAAATACAAGAAATTTGGACAAGAATTGTGTAGAATATAGCGTATAAAAACCGTTCGAAATGGTGTATTCAGATTCTCATCCAGAACAAAGAATTTTGGTTTGTAAAAAAGAAAATAAACAAATACGAACACGAACACAAACGCAATGAAAGAATTTTCCATTTTACAAATATCAAGAAGAAAGAAAAAGTTTATACAAAAGAAAAAAAAAAGGAAATCTGAAAGTACAATAAATGATACGATATCTGATTCGACTCGGGGTTTAATCCAACACAATAAAAGAAAAGAAAAAGAAAACCCGTAAAAAGCTTATGGAAGAATAAAACGCTAGAAACGCAGGTAATCTAGAAAAAATTTTTTACCTGCAAAGTTTTTTAAAAACAAAAATCTAATTGTTTCTTGGTTTTGTCGAAAAGAAAATAATACGCAGTAACGTAAAAAGTTGATATAATAACATGAACGGACTATTTACTTACTACAATAATGATTGAGATAAAAGAAGAAAACATTATATATTGTAACTGTATATTCGTAAAAGCAAGTCTAAGATGATGTACGCAATAAGCGAACTTTTTTTAAATATCGAGAAAAACCAGCGTTTTGGAAGAGAAAAATAGATACCGAAAGGAATAGAAAACTAAAAGAATAGACCAAATTTTTTATCTTTAAATATGATTTCAAGCGAAGAGGGGGAAAAGATGCGAGGAATAACATTCAACTACCAGACACTTGTCGCTCTAGGCAAATGAAACAGCCACCCCTCAATCATGATTGTCTTTTTTTTTGTTTGTGAAAACAACAACACTCTCCCCATCCACCTTCATTATCACAACAGCCAAGGTCTAGACGGACGTTTGCCATCCGGAAGACGAACCATGTCCGACTTTTCGCTTTGACTATCGTGACCGTCTAGGTCAGCACCATCATCATCATCACCATCGTTGTTCTCGTTAGAGTCATCTCGACGTTTCCTCTTTCCCAATGCTAGCGCGCATTCGGCGTCACAACTCTCTGTGCGATCGCCCATTTCCTCTTCTGACCGTGCATCCCCTTCCGTACGTTCGCTTCCTGCTACTTTATCACCACTGCTATCATCATTGCTATCATCATTGCTATCACCATTGCTATCACCATTACTATTAACACCACTTTCGTTGTCATCGCCTTCAAATCGCTCAGACACCTCACGGCCATCACCGTCGCCGCCATCTTTATCCTGTGCAAGATTTTGCCTTTTGCCTTTTAGTTGTTCGCGATCTAACAAATATTTTGCGGCCGTGGCTAGCACGTCAATACCATCTCTTGCATTCGACAAATCATCCTCGTATCCCTCCAACACCATAGTCTCTGTTTTCGATCCATCTCCTGGGGTCTCACAATATCCATTAGCAATATCTTTGAACGAAGGTAAAACGACACCCGAATTACACTGGCCGTCACTCGGTTGTCTCGGACGGGGCAAGAGAGGCATTGCAACGTCGCTCGAAGTGAATGGTGAATCGGGCGTTACAGGTGAGATCGGAGAGATTGGAGGAAGCTGAGTTGAAGCGGCGGCAGTGGTGGTGTTAGTGGTTGGTGCGTATAGTTGCGGAAATGACGAATAAGGAAGATTCATTGACGGATGAAGATGACGTGGTGGAGTTGTGGGATGTGATTGCGGAGACGGTTGGGCATATAGAGAAGCGAACGCAAGGGACGGAGAGGTCGGTTGTGAATTGGCCGCAGTAAGTGGGAGAATCTTGATTGGCGTTATAGAAATCTTTCCTTGGTGTAGTTGCTGTTGCTGCATACCCTGCGAAAATTGGTCGTTATTATTGTTGTACTGCAATTGCTGGTTGCTTCTCTGCATTTGCATTCTTGCTGCATTCTCGATACTATTGACTCCTATTTCGTTCCTTCTATTTTCGACGACTGGCATAACACCACTAATCGTTGTTGCTCTCGGTCTGTTTCCAACTCTTTTTCCAACTGCAGTTCCCGGGTGTTGATACGAATGTCTCCTCGCGCTTCGGCCTTTTGTGGATGAAGACGAAGGAGAACCGTTGGTGAACATTGGCACGAACGTGTATCCACCATGATGAGTCGAAGGGGAAGACGCGTGTCCGCTACTTCCAGCTTGAGATGGAGAGATCGCGTGGTGATGCAGAAAGCGGTGGTGTTGGTATGGGCTGGAGTTGTCGTTTGATTTCGCACGATTCGTCTTTGCACGGCGGTTTTGAAACCATACCTGAAGGTCGGGAATTGAATGTTATATGTTGAATATATCGCAATTATGACAAAACATTTATCGATTCAGTCACCCCCCTTACCTGAACTTCTCTGTTAGTCATTCCCAGTTTCTTGGCCAAACTCTCTCTAATTTCATAATTGGGTGTATCAGTTTGTTGAAACATTGCCAGCAGATCTTCCAGTTGTTCAGGCGTGGTCCTCTTCCTTCTTACTTTTTGTTGGAACTGTATGGTATGTTGACGGCGCTGTGGTTGGGGTAATGATCTCCGTCTCATGTGGCCTCTAGAGTCCTTTTGGCCTGTTCCCTCCGCATCATCCGCATTCGATGGAAACCCAAAGCTTGTTGGAGATTTGAGCCCCGGAGTATGTGGCGGTGTCATTACAGATTGGTCAGCTTTTGGGCGAGGTTGATAGTAATTTATTATGGTCAGGTCGGAAGACGAAGATGGGGATGAAGCGGTAGTGGACGAAGTCATGGAAGATGAGTGAGAGGTGGCTATATCGGGTGCTGAGAATCGACGCCAAGTGCTATCGTAATTGTCTTTGGATGCGCCTGTCGATGCTTCTGCGTTGAGTATGGATGACAATGACATTGATGTTCGACGAGAGGTATTAGATGTGATGAATATTTGTGTAGGTAAGTTTTGGTCTGTATTCATTTGCCCTAAGTATGGATGTAATGATAATGTGAGTAGTTGCCTTGATAGCAGTTATGTGGCAGAACGAATGAGTATGCGAGCATACCTTTTTAGAAACGTGGGTTAGTTAACACATAACCGACATTATATTGTACAGACGGGTATGCGCTGAGTATGCAGTTATGGGGTATGGTGCAGGCGTTGAGACGTCTGTAGAGAAGATAAGAACGCTTTGTGGGTGTAAATGCGCGGTTGCTAGGTGGGGGTGTAATTGTAGCGTTGGGGAATATCGCGTAATATGTTACAATGATATGTGATATGTTTTAGAACATTATATTGACAAATTCTATGACATTGTTATGGGGGGTTTTTTCGGCTAGTAAAAGTACGGACATACTTACGTTCTCGTATTGTTCAGTGTGAACAGGAATGCTCCCGTAGACTATATGACGGTTGAGTCTATATGAGTTGGGTGAACGTGTGTGGAATGAAAATAGTTATGAAATTGTTCGAGTATGAAATTTGAGGGGTGGTTGCAGTGGAAGACTTAATTTGGAATGAGCAACCGAAATAGGAAATGTGTGCTATTCTGTGTATGGTAATCTGGCGAATAGCAGATAAAGACGGTCAAAAATGGACGGTATAGATAATAGCGATAATAGCAAGTAACCTAACCCGGAGTGATATACAATAATTATTTGTTGTGGGTGATAAATACGGAATAAAAGTAAAACAAACAAGTGATGCTTATGTGGGGGTGAGCGGGACTATTTCACTGACTGACCAACTCGCCAACGCAACGGCCTTGCCCACTGACCAACCGACCAACCCACCAACCTCACTGACCACCTCACCCAGACATACATATTCTCTTATCACCAAGATACGTCACACCATGGCACTTTCCCAATCCTGTTTTTTCCTTATTGCCCCATTACTGCTTCCATTTATATCCTGCGAATGCTTTGTGTTTACGGTTGATGCAACCTGCTTATTCGATTGATCCAAAAGGAGAAATCAATCGACAAATGCAGGTTAATCAGTATTTTTGGCAACCCACTCACTACATGTCCCGTTTTTGACAATTGGTTTATATAATCAGCTGCGTTTGAATTAAGCATTAAATTAAAAAACCGGTTATTCATATTAATAGGGAATCTTATTTTGTCACTATCCTGTGATGTTTATCGATTATTATGTCAATTCTATTACATTGTATCAATATCTACGTCATTTATCGGTTACATATGTATCACATATACGTATACACATATTCAACATATACAACATATACGTACAAATTCAACATATACAACATATACAGTACAAATACACACATATCATACTGTAGATCCCGTTATTGTTCCAACCACTAACGTCAAGTTTTACAAGACGTAGTTTATTCACAAAATTGTTACATTTAAGGGACGTTTTTTAGCTGTTTTACAATTTAAGAAATGATTAATATATTAACCTGTCCGTAAAAATGACGATTTTTATCATCAGTCACTTTTTTAGCAAGTCATTAATAATGTCTCTGTTATTATTACATTCCCTGTTTGGGAATGATGGTGATGTCAGCCAATCGAACAAGCAAAGAAAACGATGAAAACCAATCCATATAGATGATAAAGAATAGAACGTAAAGACTAGTGCTATTACCAAAGAGAAAACAATTGAAAATGATACTTTATATATACACACACATTTATACCCATCCTTGCTCGGACAAATAACCATACCGTGAGAGAGTTATAATAATGACGATGATGATGATGGTTATGATGATTAGATGTTCTTGTTACCTGCCTTAATGGTGCCATCCCATGATCTTAATATAACGGATTGCATTCACACTATAACTAATACAGCATAATGTTGCTTACTAACAGCTCAGGCGTGTAACGGTAATGTAATAGAAATTTCTATAGATGCTCTTATCTGTATTTCTTACTACATTGTGTACATCGAGCTACACAATTCATTATCAACGTTTATCCATGTCTCACTTTCTTTCCTTATCCCCTCTGCCGACCCTTACCGAATTCTAACAGCCACAATTACAAAATATTTATTGTTCAACCTTCACTCGCAACCATTACTCGCAGTCTTACTTGGGGATCAACGACGGATATAAAGGCCCGATACAATCTGAACCCATATATAGGCGAGATGCATGCGGCACACGCTGTACACATCAACAAAATTTGAAAATAGGAATTTGTGCATATTGTTTTGGCTTTGGTAATAAGTGAGAGGGGATAATTAAAGCGACTGAACAAACGATTCTATTATTATACTTGTGCGTGTGTGTGTGTGTTATGTGTGTGTGTGTGTGCGACTAAAGTTTTCTATGAGGAATGCCATTATAAAATCTTCTTTTAAGGAGATTATAATTTCTCACTTTCCTTCTTTCGGCACTTCGTTCGTGTAATTGCAATCTGAAAAAGATGCACAAAGGACAGTAAGATGAGAACGCGGAGAGGGTGTGTGTACGTGTGCATGTGCTTCTATGTGTATATATTACGTTCATTTGTTGTAATTGACAGTTGATGTATGAAGAAACAAGATATGACAGATAACAGTTAATAATTATTTACACAATGGGCAACAATAAACTGTAATTTGCTATTAATTGAAACGAGCACTAAAATAGGAATGACAAACAAATGCTATATATGATTGTTTAAATAACAAAATTTTTTTTTAAAATTAAAAATAACATTACCGAAAGTAATTATATCGTTATTATATTAAATTTAATACACCCGTTCTATAATTAAACTCTCACTTTCATATCACCCCCCCCCCCTTCTTCAACCGACAAGCCGGGTAGAATGAGAGAGGGGTTAGACCATTCTTGGAATAATATTCAAGTATGAATTTGCTGAGAGCAACAAATGCAGACGCAAATTAATACAATCGTCAAATAATTATCTATTATGGGTTAGTTTACTCGGTGCATACGACATAATGGGCATGCACAATTACTGTCATAAACATTAAAATTTTTTTTCTTACTGTTCCATTCCATACCCTGCTGTACACAACATACTGCATTATTTTCTCATCTGTTTCCGTTTGTCATTATGTTAACTTGAAACTTTTTTCAAGTCTACTCCACTCACTACCCCGAACCTTTTCAAATCTACTCCACTCACTACCCCAAACCCCCCCCCTCTCTCTCTCCTTCTTTCTTCCCCATTATACTTTAAAGAAGTGGCTCAGCCAATTCATTGTAGTACGAGATGGTTTTCAACAAACCATTTCTCTATGTGCCAAAATAGGTTAGATAAATGTCAACAGTCGAAAAATGGACCCCAACATGACAAGTCATTTTTGATAACAAAAAAGCACAAGCATATTTACAGACATTAAAGTAATGTTTTCGGGATTAATTGACTATTTTACAGACATTAATATCAAGGTATACTAATTCCATGGTTTTTTTAAACAATAATTTATTTTTAGACGCAAAATTCTCACCAAGTCATTCTGAATGAATGTTTGCAATTTTACCATCACTGGCAACGAAATTGAAAAGGCAAACTTGATTTGTTCGTTTTTTTATCTCCATTCCCATGTTGATATGTACACAGTTTTCTTTGTTAGCTACATAATATATACACATGTGTTTGTAAGGCTGGTTTGATCATTATCATCTATTGCATTACATACCTTGCATACTTTAAATGACATAATAGGATAATTTTGAAAAATTTCCTGTTTTATACATCTGGGCATGGCAACCGTTATTTGCAGGTACTAATCTCTTCGATGACTGACTGAATCAAATGTGACGTCATATAATAATTGTGAAAATATGGCGTCTAAATCCACGTGTCAAATTATTATGTAGAACAAACAGCTTTTATAGTTCCTCTTCAATTGATTACAGAAAAACTACTCTGCTTTATTTTTACTGACGTCAAATAATTAATACAACAATTTTATAAGCCGGCATAATGGTCAAAACTATTGTATATATGCCGTTACGTGGGTGATAGTACGCTCAGCTCCATTACCAGTGATCTTAAGAACACCCTGTTGCTCTAAAGTTCTCGCGGCAGTCTCGAACTGTCTCTCAGTGATTTCCTATTGACGAGGAATAAAATCAAATTAATTTAAATATCACTTTATTGTGACCGAGTATAAAAGAACATACCAAATCGGATTGTTCGTTCAATTCGCGTAATAGAGTTCTCCACGGTGCGCGTGCTGCACCTTTCTTCCTGAGCAGTTCTTGCAAAGCATTCCCTATGTCTTCCAATATGCGTCTTTCGTGAGTACCTTGTCCAGTATTTATCAGATCCATGTCTATCTTGCCGGTCTCCGGGTCCCACGCGTATTGTTTGATAGCTTCACGTAGTAATCGCGCGGCCTCCTGGACATCTTCCAATTCGACATATTCTGCCAACCTTTGAGAAGAGTGTAATGTTTTGCAATTGGTTAATGTAATAGTTCGATCCACTACCGCAAAATCCTAATAAAGAATAACGTACTTCATTCGCGCGTGAGCTTCTGATAATCGGATCATAGATTCGAGCTGTCTTGTCGTCGCCGTAATAATCTTTTCGCTAGTGCGCGGATTTTCACCTAATTTCCTCATTGAAACATACGCGTCAACGAGCGCTTGGTAGGCTTCATTATTGTCAACACGGAGTTTTGGTTTGCAGTGTTTGCGAGCATATGCTATGTACTTTGTCAATGTCTCAATAGACTATATCAATAGAAAGGAAATCAAACGCGTGGTACTTAATATCATATAATATACGAATGTGCGGCGGATAGAAGGAACATACCACAAATCTGCTTTCATCTGTTTGTGGTGAGTCCTCAACATATAGGGACACTATGTGCTTTGCAAGCTGCTTATCCGAATTCTCATCCACTTTGTCGAGAACCAAGTAAATAAGATCAAATCTATACCAAGATCAGTTGACAAACATGCGAATGTTTAAACTGTATAGCAAGTTAGGATAATATACACAAATTACCTCGACATGAGTGTGGGTGGCAATTGGATATTTTCAACGATAGATAGTTTTGGATTATATTTTGAGTGTATTGGATTGGCCGATGCAAGTATTGACGTTCGGGCATTCAGAGTCGTGATTATACCAGCTTTAGCAACGGACACGGTTTGTTGTTCCTATTGTTATATATAAATAACACTCATGTTTGTAGATTATAATGACAGTGGATCAAATCGACCGGCTTTTACATACCATAACCTCATGAAGTACCGATCTAGTTGCTTCAGACATTTTATCGAATTCATCAATACAACAGACGCCGCCATCGCTGAGCACCAATGCACCACTAATACAATACTTGATGAGTACAGAAAGAAATTTTGCGTTTGACAGCAGGGCCAAGAATTGCGTGAAAATATACCTTTCTAATACCAGTTGCCTAGTATCCGGATCACGTGAAACATATGCTGTCAATCCCACAGCTGAAGATCCTTTACCAGACGTATATACACCACGTGATGCAATCTTATGCACATACTATCATACAAGTAAATTAATTTGCGTGCTTATGCAAAATCTAGCAGTTAGAATGACGACATACCTGCAACAACTGTGATTTACTCGTGCCAGGGTCGCCCACCAATAATATGTTAATATCACCTCTATATCGTGGTGCTGCCGTCCTTCTAAATACTTTATTGTGCCCACCAAATAGTTGTAATAATATGCCCTTCTTCACATCATCCATTTCATAGATACTAGGAGCTATACGTCAATGTAATCAATAACAGATTATTAGCGGTAGATATGATACTTGATTTACTATTCTTAATGCTCACCCAATGATCGTGACAACAGTTCATACAAATCAGATCGACGAGACAACTCGATTAGTCGAGCCTCATCCCCCTCAGCAACAGTGTGTATTTCATCGCTTTCGTCATACCTGTGTGTATTGCGATTTTAGTGTTGTTGTCATTACGAATCATTAGGCCATTCAACATGCTGAATGTACATACGTCACATCTGTATCTTCAAGAGATATCCTATCGGCAGCGATTCTACGTTTATCCGATTTGCGAATATGTACCACGTCGATATATGTCTTGAATAACGACTTGACGTTTCTATGGCGCGGATTGACTCTGATCGGTGTTGACCGGAAGACGCCAGTAATTTCGAGTCTATTGGGATGCATTGATTACACGTGTCATTATCATTGTAAGTCATTGTCATTTCGACTGCTTGTGTCTATTTACTAATTTATACGTTGTATATTAACCCTTAATCCACTTTGACTTACTTGTCTCCGGGTCTAGAAATGTCAACAAGATCATCATACATACACAACGTGACCGTGTGCGGTGTCTGTCCATCCGGTATGGAATCTGTATATAAACGCG